CTATAGTCAAGTGAAGCAAAAGACGAGATGTGACAGGTCTTGAGACAACGAAAGAGTATAGGCCATAAAATCATATCCTCATCTCGAGAAATAAGTTCGTGACTCCAACGCGACTACCAGAAGGAAAAAGTTAGACCCCAGAATAATAGAAATCACTATGGGCTGGTGAACAAGATAAACTAAACATGAATTAGGGACTAAGTGATTTGATAATGGTCAACATCATGAGAATTTCAAATTTCGTTCTGGCGATATAGAATGGACAACAGAAGAAGATTCATGATAAATTCAGAGAATGGTCATTCAAGAAGACGCTTCCCTAAAGCAAGCAATGTGAGCAAAGTAAAGCTTAAGGGACTGTATGTGCCAATTATATAAGTGTCACCCTCGCAAGTAGGGAATTTTGTTATCCTTGGTACAAAAGGATTACCTCAAGGCAAGTAAGGGTCATCGATGATGTGAAAAGACGCCAAAGATGATGAGGTAAACCATCTATAGGTAGATCGTCATAGCTCTAACTCTTAGTACTCCCTTAAAGGGGGGAATATGTAATGATGTGGCATTAAGTCAGAATTAAGTGGTTCTAGTAACTATGGAGTGGTAAAGAAAGAATGCGATAAAAATGAGAAAGGGATGAGATTGCACTTACTCAAATCCTACTTATATGCTACAATTCCAGAATATTATGAAAACACGACGTCAAGGAGAGGAAGTAATGGTTCTTTCCCGAGATGTTATTGATAGATAAGGAGCCAGTGCGGTACGCAAGTTAAGACAAACGAAATGACCCAAGAAAGATTACACGGAATATTGATATGAGATTGGGCCAACGAGTAGTTAGTAGTTGATTCAGGAAGGGCCTGGTTATGGCTAGACAAGAGGATACAAACAAATCAATAGATCGTGCAAGATAAACAGAGTGAACCCCAACATGGGGAATTCAGCCTCGCAGAAGACTCCGGTATAAGTTAAAAATAAAGAATTGAGTCCATGTCATAGATAAAGGATTGAATTGTTAGATGATGGTACCACGGATATTCCATAGCATCCATGAAAGGCTAAAGTAAAACTAATACCATGAGCCACAGATCGGAAGATAGCTTAAGCCTACATAAAGGTTGATCAGAGGAAAGAAGAAACTAAAAGGTTACATCAACTAAGTAAATCAGGAGCCTGATTATTAGACTTAGAAAATCATAGAAATCGTGATTGAGAACATTGCAGGATCACTCCTAATATCAGAGGTACAAAAGAGATAGTACAACAGCCATATTCTATAACGGCTCTACGATAAAGCCAGTTAGAGAAGTACCAGCCGCTTAAGCAGTCAGTATGAAGCTCCCACCGAATTGTATATGCACCAGAGGTGCGAGTATTATAATAGAGCTTCAAGTTATGGGTATGAATTATACCTATGTGGAAGGGAGGTCATGAAAGAGATAGAAGATGTGATGCGAGATTTTAAGGTAAGTAAGGTAAATGTGAACAACGTACGAGATACTCAATGCAGAAGATCATGAATAGTCCATACTTCGGATAGAAGGCTAGAAGCGCTGGGATTCAGTATCCAGGAATGATTCAGTGGCATATCTTCCAGCCTATGGTTTCTAAGTACCGAGAGATCTAGTCAAGAGAGTAAAGAAGAGTTAGAGACAATGTGATGTCTCGCTTGATGTTCTAGAATAACATAAGGAAATCTATGATGCAAGCAAATTGAAGGAAGGTTGTGAGTAGCATAAATGGATATTGTAGGTCAAAAGCTAAAGTATGGTAGATCTACAAGGTTTTAGGAAGACATGAGTAAGTATAAGGAAAGCAAGTGAGAAGGTGACGAGAATGGATGAGTCCTCGGGATTAAGCCCATGAAAACAAGAGTGCTAATGGTTTCTCTAAGTTATAGAAAGTTCAGTATAGCCTGAATGAACTCAAAGGAGTCTAAGACTAATAGTATTTAGAAGAGATGGAATGCTGCCCTGGTAGTACAATGAGGGTGTAATTGTGATAGATAAAGGATGACGTTTGTCCTTTAATTGAGTAATGATTTGAAGAGGATTTCATGAGTTTTACGGGATTAGATAACCCCCATAGGATGAATCACGTTGGGATGCTATAAAATACGGTTATGGAAGCATGGTATCTCCCCCAGGTGGATCAGTCTAATCATTTCAGATGTTTCCTAATGAGACGTGAGCCCTAGCGGTAGTGTTACATAAGAGGTCATCAGTGGTAGATTATAAATCAACATTAAGGTGAATCAACAATACATGGATAAAAGTTCAATAGTATGAGATGAGATCAGGCTGTCATTCTTAAGATAAACAGTAACGAGGAAGCATTAAAGGACTTAGATTTATACATACATGATAAGCAGCAACGAGAGTAACTTGGAGTTTGGTAAAAGACCTCAGTAACGATAAATCAAAGTAAGAGTTATGGTATAGTATGACCTACCTAGATGCAGTAAAGTCATACGGATGGATAACCGGGTCTATGAAACAAGATATAGCAATAATCGTAAGTTCGACAAAGTTTCGAACAAAGAACTTCAGTACACCTATAGATGTCTAGAGCGACATCTTGTCATGTTCTGTATATGTTTCCAAAGTGAGGCCTAGCGATTGGCTCAAAAAGCTGGAGGAAAGAATCGCATAGGCGCACATACAAGGTCAGAGTCGTACATGCTGCATGATAGAAGATAGCAATAGTTACGAGATTGGAAGGATTCCGACCACAAGTCATGAAGTAAGAAAGAGGCCTAAAGGGGAGAATGCTCTGGCCTTTGGATTTATTAACAGAACAGTTGCCTAGATAGAAAGAAGATTACTAAAGTATTCATAAGAACTATGGGTTATGAGAATGATAAGTGCATCAGTCAACATTCGAGGTTGAATGTTCCAAAGAGGGGAATGATGTTATACCCCATGTTTTCGTACGTGGAAGTACGCCATAAGTAAATTCATATTATCTCGGAAATGAGATGTTACATTCCGCATTTTCGTACGTTAAAGTTTCATCGTAAGTTAATCGACGTAAGTTCGGGAATGAGACTATTTTGGGATTATAAGTATTACGCTATTTCAAACAAGTGATAAGTAAATTCGTGAAGGTGAGAGGGTAAGCAAATCAAAGAAGGTGATTTTCGTCGAAGTTTGTCAATTTGGGATAAAATACGATCCGAGCTATAATACCCGGTATTTATAGACCAATGCCATACAAGGTACCACATGACCATGATAGTAAGGTGTATAAGGTATGTTAAAAATAAGTAGTATTTTAAGTAATTGGGATTCTTAATTATGCGGATAATTGGTTAATTATTAATTTTAATGGGCGATTGACATGTAATTGGAAATTTATGGATAAAGCTTGATGAACTAACGTGGAATCAAGATTTAATGAAATGAGTGACTCTTTACTCACAAATTAAGGTGGCACATCTAAATGGTTTTGAAGCTTAGTCATCCTAAAGTGGAGCCCACTCTCTTTGATAAAAGCAACCATCTCCCTAGTTCATTAAGGGGAAATACTTAGCTAACGGATGGAATTCCCTTTCTCAAGGAGAATTCTTATGAACCCTTATAATGCTACAGTAGCGTAAAATGCGATTCTAAGAGAGCACGGTACAATCTTTCTCAAGAATATTGTACGGATTTTTCCCTACTTCCACCCGCCGTTACGTGTTGTCGCAATTGACGTGTATTGGAAGGATTGTCAAGAGAATCGACTCAGATATGTTAAGGCTATCCCTTCTTTCCTTTTGGCATGATCTTTATGATACAAACGAAATGAGAAAATGCACAATTTTCATAAATGACTCTATTCATAGAAGTATTAGAGGTGCCGATGTTCTTGATTCCCCATATGTCTAATTATTCTATCGTATGTTCATGGGTCTCAGAAAATATGTAAGTTGATAAAGTTTACTTCAGGATATTAATCAGAGGCATAATGGTCTTATAACATTCCGAGAGGTTTTATTGACGTACTTCTCATGCATTGCATTCATTTATACATGTGCATTGACCCATGACCAGATGGCATTATATATGTGTATATATGTTTATTATATATATATATGGGATATGGGAAAATGCTACGGCGTTATATACGCACCACCACCTGATCAGCTGGTATACGGTGATGATTTTGCCCACAGTGGCCGAGATGATATGATGGGATGACTTTAGAGGCTTGATGATGTTATGAACACATGTACCTATGCACGACATGACATTCATATGCATATGCATGACACTATAAGTATTTCATGATTTACAGAGTTATCCAGACTTACAGGTTGAGTCATTTACTCCACGTTTCTTCCATGTCTTTTATGTACTTACTCATGTGTCTTACATACTCGGTACATCATTTTTACTGACGTCCTTTTGTTGGGGACGCTGCATTCATTCCTGTAGGCATAGACAATATGTTTAACGAGCCCTCATAGTAGTCGAGGTTAGCATTTAGCGAAGGATCGGTAAGACTCCACTTCATTCGGAGTACAGTCGAGTCTATGAGTCATCGTGTCAAAATCATGCCACAGACTTATGGGTAGGCTGGTGCCCTATCTCATTTGATGTCAAATACTTTTAGAGGCTTTGTAGATAGAGGTTCATTTTGTACAGTATGTTAGAGACCTTGACGGCCCATATGTATTCATGTTTTAAGAGAGATGGCTCATTGATGCAGTGCTTTCCCACTTATAGTTATACATTATGATTTGTGGCCATGTTAGCCCAGTTACCAATGATAGTACGATAAGAAAGATATGTTACGTTGGTACTCGGTTGAGTAAGGCACCGGGTGCCCATCGTGACCTTTTGGTTTGGGTCGTGACAGCTGTGATGTCGGCCAATATCTCAGTGATCGCTCGACAAGATGACTCGTCCTACCCATATCCCAACACCATTACAGAATATCTTAAGGATGCAAGGGTAGAGATGAGGGATTATGATACAAAGGTAAAGCCGAAGAAGCCTTTCCCTTGGTAGTCACTTATGGTTGCGAACAACCCGAAAAGGAAAGTTCAGCCTTCTACCACCACAGGCCAGTCTGATGAGCCAGGCGTGGTAGTTGTTGAGACACATGGTGTTCCATCCACTTCGGCCGAGCCTTCCTCTAGTGCCGGATCTATGCCCCCACCATCGTCTACAGCCCCTACTGTAGTTCCTGCCACAGCTTCCACCTCGGCATTGAAGCCGGTGCCCATGCCTAAATATCCCACTCTCTACGCTGCGAGTCTCCCAGACATTTGCGAGCCTCAACAACTGCATGCAGACAGTGACTGCAAAGTTATCTGACTTATCCAGTACTGTCACAGCGCAGTCTTCTGTTCAGGCACCTCAGTTTCCCCCCACTGTTGAAGAGAGACTCAAGAAGCTCCTAGAGAACCAGAACACTATCATGGCTACCTTGGTATAGCATGGGTCACTAATCAAAGAGCTAGGAAAGGAAGTAAAGAAGATGAGGAAATCTCAGTCTAGCAAGAAGTCCGTGGACAAGCTCCGAAAAGAAGTGAACAGAATATCTACAGCCGGAGATCTTCAATTTTAAATGTTACTTGACCCGCACCAGTCGGCACCAGATCCTGCAGCCCCATCTGCACCGGTAACACCAACTGGCCAATTTGACGAGCCAGACCTTGCTGCCGAGACTACTGAGGCAGTGCATCAAATGTTCTCCAACCCAGCCACACCTAGAGTCGAGGATGAGACGGAGGGCGATGACATTGCTGGGGACACAGAGATGTCCAAGGAGCCATAGGGAGTTTTCTTCACTTTTTCCCCTCTTTTACTCTTATTTTGTTAAGCATTGGCGACAATATCTTTATTGGGGGGGGGGGGGGGGAAGGGTGGAGTTTATTTGTTTACGTTTGATACATTCTGAGACAATTGGCTTGTCATAAGTTGATAATATTCTCTCTTTTTATTATATCTATATGTATCTTCTCTCTCTCTCTCATTATGTATATTCGTTCTATTTTCAATAGCTTTTTCTTTTTAGCTTCTTTATGTTTGTTTCCTTATTAGTTCGTGTTTGATGTAATAGCTTTTTTTTTATGTTTCAGTAGATAATAAGCCTTTGGTTTTCTTAATGCCACGGTTCTTTCCAAAGGTAGTTGTTGTGTGAACCGGGTGACTCATCCCAACGATGGATGGCGTGACAACCTTTCTTAAGGGAATGAGTCAGTTTTGTGTTTAGGTAATAATAGTAGTGGTCATGAACAAAAAGACCTAATTAAGTCATGTTTGAAGAGTCAAACATGCTTCATTTGGCACCAACACACTTAACTACGTGTTTATGGTTAGAGACAAGGTTTTAAAAGGAAATAACTCTAGTTAGTGACTTTGTGACTCTTGTGTTGACTTTGGTAATCATCGAATGGTTTAATTAGACCATAATGATCTTTAATCTTGAATGTGGTCGTTGTGGGCCCTCGACTCTATCCTCTTTTACAATCTAGTTGTGTGAGGGGTGAGATGAATTATTGCTAGTCCAAGTATCTGTGCGAAGGGTCTAGAACTTGCCCCGAATGTGTTTTAAGGTGAAATCCTAAGTTTTGCTTGGCTTGAAAAGTGATTGTAGGATTTCCTTGGCCCGTTTGAGTTTTCTATTACCAGCCAATGTCATTATCCCTAGTCAACCCCTTCGAGCCTCTAGCCTTTCTCATTTGATAATCATGTTACAAGCCTTTACCCGATTTGTCGTGACTCTCTCTTGGCACCCGAGCTTTTCATAACACTCTTGTGAATCAAATGGCTTAAAACGTAAGTTTGGGGGAGAGATGAGGAAGTTGAAAAAGGAATCAAGGCACAAAAGGAGAAAAGAAATAATCTCTATGAGAAAAGAAGTCAAGAAAAGAAAAGAACAAAAGAAAAATGCAAAAAGTGAATAAGTGAAAGGGTTGAATGGATTCAAAAGGAGGTAATGATCCAAAGCATTGAGAAATCAAAAAAAGGGGAGATAAAAATGAAATGATCAAGAAAGAGAGATTTTAAGTCTCTGTAGTCCCCAATAAAAAGAAAGTGCCTCTACGAATTGGCAAGTATGAGCCGAGAAATGAAAGATGGAGTGTTTAAGAAAAGGTGTAACCACCTTCCCATACTGTATTTGACCCTAATCCAAAAGCATTCATTACATCCCGAAAGAAGTCCTACTTGATTTCAAGCCGAGTGAGCGTACATTAGTGGCGATCTATATGAGGGGCAAGCCTATGGTACTTGAAGCCGTACTTGTGACATTCTCTTGTGAGAGATGAGTGAACCCTTCATGAATCTTTGGATTGACTGCTAATTTCTTAAGTGAGCTTGGCAAATGGAAAGTAGAGGAGGAAGAGTTTGGATTCCACCATGGCCTACATGATAGAGCAAGAGTCCTTGATGAGTAAAGTCAATTGTTGAAACTCAAATGTCACAATAGGACTATATGGCATGAATGATTACTTTGTCACCTTGTTGATAATGCATGAGTAGTGTGGGTAATTGTTGGTCCCAACTGATGTGTGAATGGCTCACCTTTGACTCACTGAAATGACCCTTAACTCTTGGAGGTGGGAACTAATTTATTTGCTTGAGGACAAGCAAAGACTTAGTTTGGGGGAGTTGATAAGTAGGGATTTTGACTGCTTATTAGCACCTTTTCGCTCTTGTCTTAGTCCAAAAGTATCGAATTGTGTTCCCAAAACTAATGAAATCGTGCAAATTGCAGGAATGCTGGAAGTTTGGTCTCCCATGATGAATTCCGACTCAAAAAGGAGCCTTCCGAAGCACAAGGAAATAAAGGATGCAGAAGAATAGAGGTGCGGTCCGCAGAAGGAGTTTTGCGGCCGCGGAATTCCATTTGCGGCCGCAACTCAAGCTAAATAGTCCAACAGGAGTTTCAGCAATGTGCGGCTGCAGAAATGGGCTTTCAGTGACAGATTCAAAGTTCAGAGAATATGCAAACATACCAAGTCCTGAAGCCCCTGTGAAGTGCGGACCGCACAAGAATTGTGCGGCCACAGAAGATTGCCTCGCGGCCGTAGTCCAGAAATATGCGGCAGCGGAACTTACTTTCCTGCTAGCTGAAGAAATTTGCGGACCACACATGGAATTGTGTGTCCGTAGAACCCGAGGGGCATTTTTGCCCATGATTTTTGGACCTGTATAAATAGACGAGTTTCACAAAATTAGGTTATGTTTGAACATCCAAAGCTGCTATAGCCATTTTTCTTTACTATATTAGGAAGTTTTAGCTTGTTTGGGTAGTTTAATATTAGATTTCATCATTCTAATCTTCCATTATGTGTTTAATTAGCTATTCTTCCTTTTTTGCTACAATTTTCATTATGAGTAGCTAGATTTTTACTAGGGTTGTGACCCAACCCTAGTGTGTAAACCTTATGGGTATTTAATTTAGTGCTTGTTTATGATTGGGTGTTGATTATTTAGCTTAGTTCATGCTTCACTTTTAGAATTAATGGTTGCAAACATTGATTCATGCCTATTTAACTTAGTCTCTACTTGAGAAATAGGGACCTAGTCTAGGATAACATAGCTAACAAGGAATTGAGTTCATTGAGGGATTGATTAACCTATTTAAAGGGTTAAAACTAGAGATAGTAAGAACCTAGCTTGAGCTCTTATCAATTGTTTTGGTTGATACCCATTTGCACTTGAGAAAGCTAAATTGGGCAAGATATAGATCTGGCCGAGAGGTATTGAGTGGGTAATGTAGAGTTTAGAGCTATAATGCACCCCAATCAACAAAACAAGAATTAACATCTTTATCCCATTAGGCAAACACCTAGGATATGTTCACAATCCTAGGCCTTTAACCTATTTGAAAAAACCTCAAAAACATCCATTTCTAGTCTATTCTCTTTAGCTCGCATTTATTAGAGTAACAGTAGAAGTAGAAAACAAAACTCTGTTGTGGAAGTGCAATCTTAGATAACCCATTTGCCTTCTTCAAATATATACTCCTAGCACCCCTTATAACTCCCAGTGGATTCGACCCCGACTCCTAGTTTGGTAATTATTATTGCATACGACCGTATCATATCTCTATTGAGGTGTGTTGTGGACGTTATCAATTTTTTACCCTAAGTAAGGTCTAGAACCACCCAAATAGTAGGTCCAAAGCCTCCTGGACCACATGCATGGGATGGCTAGTGCACGCATAGGACACGGTTTAGAATAGATCTAGAGCGCTTTAGGTAAATAACTTTAACATAGTAATTGGGTAGCAAGAGATGATAGTCTGTGCCTGCTGAATAATATGAGCAACCCCCACCCTAAGAGTTGCGAAGGTATTATTTATGTTGCACGGGGTGATCCTTTAGGCTAAAAAACTTAGGACCCCCCCCCCTTATATGTTTATTGTTCGTGTCTTGTCTCTTTGAACATAGAATAATTAAGTTGTATCTTGTAACCTCTAAAGACTTGTACTGATCATTTATATATAGTTTAATTCCTTCACATGTGCAATTTTCTTTACACTTGTAGTTGAGATTTTAAATTTCCTGTCTTCCTTCACTTACATGATCGCATAAGACAATCCAATAATCCCACATAGCATGAATTTCGGCCGGGACCCTTAGTTGTGGACCTCGAAAAGTGCCTAACATCTTCTCTTCGAGGTAATTTGAGCCCTTACACGATATTTGGTGACATTGACTAGCTAAAATAGAGTTATTTGCAAATAGGTGCCCTAACGCACCTTAAAATCGTTAGGTGGCGACTCTTCTTTTAATACCCATTTTATAAGAGTTGTCACGTGTCGAAACCCGCTTTCGCGAGAAAATAGGGCATGACAGCATGACGACTCTGCTGGAAATTACTTAGGCTCTTACCATAATGAATTTTCGATTATGTGGATTAATGGATTATTCGATTACATGTACATCCCCTCCATATTTTCTTTATCCGCTTAAACTGCTATGACATGTATATCCCCTCCATATTTCCTTTATCTGCTTAAACTGCTATGACATGTACATCCGCTCTCTATTTCCTTTATCTTTTTTAATGACTGCTATATCAAGTCTCTCCCGTACCTATCTCCCTATTTGCTTCATTTAATTACGTTTTCGCATATTTTTTTTTCATGAGTTAAACTGACCTCTCACTTTTGTCTTTCTTTTTTTTCTTTTCTTTCTCATGTTCATCTTTATCATATTATTTACTGTTTTTACGTACTTTCATCATGCAAATATCTGGAAACGTGTTACTATTTTTTGCAAAAATCATGCTTTCAACTTCATACTCCATTTGTGCTTATTATTAATATAGCGTCTCTGATAAGTGTCCGCCCTTTCCTAAAAACACCATTTTAAATCGGAAAGGCTTATTAGCGGTAGACTAGTCGATCAGCGGTGGAGTCGACAGTCTTGTGCCTTTCTCTCTCAAATTGTCCACTTGAGAGTACCAGTCTAGACCCTTCTAGAGCCATACCCTGATTTGAAATGTACATGCATCATGTTAAACCTAGTATGGATTGAGACGTCATTTACGCATCAACCCGCTTAGATAAACCTTGTCCAACGTCCAACAAGATTCCCGTAATCCCAAAGGACGCCATCATATTATGTGCATTACTTGGAAAAATATGCCAACATGTTGAGCATGATTGCGCAAATAGTCATTTTTGGAAGGGGGAAAGGGCTAACTTTTATTTGTTTGCAGAAAATGAAGCACGAAATCCCCAGGTTTGGTATGGTCCAGAATATCCCGCCTCTGCTAATTGACTGGTGGAACGACCTTGCACCATGTGACAGAAATCACATGAGGAGAGTACAGGGTAACTTTCCATATTTGTTGAATATTCGACCCAATAGGGAATTAATTGAGGCAGCCACTATAGGCTGAGTGCATTTCTTCAGTAATCTGACAGACGAGCAAGTGCATTGGATTTCGAGTGGTTTCCTAGTAGCGAGTTCATCATGAGGTCCAGAGGAACCACTCACTTAGTACTGATCGGACTGCGAGACATCTACCCTTACGCTCATATAAGGGTAATGAGGCAAGCTGGGAGGAAACAAGTCATACCTCGGGTTTCCAACATGGTTCAATATAAAGCAGATTTCAAGTGAGATGTTATTCCATTCAAGTTTGAAGCCCAACACTTGTGGAATCAAAAAATTATCATGGAGGGAGAGACTATTGAACTAGAAAGGTATCACTCTGGTCACATGTACTACTATCTCTCATGGTTGGAAGATGACATAACCGAAGATGTCAAATCAGGGTTCAATCTGAAAGATAGGATCATAGATGAAGTGGCTGAGGCACAGGTGAAGTACAAGAGGCCACTTAAAAGAGTGTTCGAATCTGAAGCTAAGCATCTGCAACAACATAAGGTGGATATGGAGGCGATCAGGGAATGGAAGGAGATTGCAAATAAGTCGATAGAGAGGTTAGGGTATCTAGAGCAAGGATTGATGGAGCTAGAGGGGAAGATGAGAAAGAGGCTTTGGGATTTTCAAGGCATGGACTATGACGAAGGAGGGAAGCTGGCAATGGCTTACTTGCTACTCGACATGCGCGACCTGGGAAATGTGATTGATGGAGTCAAAAGAGCCAAGCATGGAGAAGGCCCTTCTAGGACCAAATAGACTAGGAGATAATGTTCTTTACTGCTTTAAAGATTAGATTTTATTAGATTTCGATGTAATAAGGCTTAGTGACATTAGTGACTTTATAATTATTATGTCGATTTAATGAAAGGTTGATTTGATTTATTTTCACATTAATGGAATGAGGCAACACTGGCATGAATTTTCTCCAAGCTTATAAGTTGCTTAGGCCTACCTCGGGCACAGTGAGGTCCCCAAATTAGGATGCGAATTATTACATGACCTTACGTGATACTTATTTAAATATTACAAACACTCTTTATTTCGTTCTACTGACTTGGTTATCTTTTGTTTTTCTTTCTTTTGATTACTCACATTCCCAAAGGTTGGTTCGTGCATTCTGGCATCATCAGCATACCACACCAGATTCAGAGGTCCTCCACCTTCTCCTCCACCTAGCAACCCAAAAATCAAAGCAAAGGAAATATGGATGATCTAAGTAGTAATCAAAAAGACAATGCTACCATGGGGGAAAATGTTGAAACCTCAGATGGAAGAAGTACGTCAGGACAGAATGAATTGGTCCTGCGGTTGGAACAGAAAATCTTGGAACTACAAGGTGAGCTTGAGCAGGTCTGAAATCTCGCCAACCTCTCCCTTACTCTAAATGTTCCTGACATCAACCATCAAAACACAACCACTCAGAATCAAACACCACCAGGAAACACCCAAGCCCAAAATCCACCACTTATAGCTCCACAAAATCCTCCCGCGGCGCACCAGTATCACAACCCCGCACCCCCTCAAAACCTTAACCCCCCATCAGTGCAAACCCCTCAACAATACCACTATCACTCCACCCAGTATCCGCCAACCACCACTAATCACATCCCTCAAAATGCACCACAACTTACCCCAGGTCCCCCTCAAACCTCAATCAATGATCACCCATACACCCAAGTCCCAGGAACACACCAAAGCAACCCGATATACGTAGAAACCTTACCTCATACCCCGAAACAAATCCTATACATACCTAAACCAACAGAGAAGGACCCGGTCATCCAAAACATGGCGGAGGAACTAAAGAAATGGACAGGGAGAGTCTAGAGTGTTTAAGGCGGGAAAGGCATTGAAGGTTTGAACTACGAAGAATTTTGTATCCAGCCAGATGTAGAACTGTCGGAGGGTCACAAACCTCCTAAGTTTAAGATATTTGATGGCACCGTTGATCCTGAGGTGCATTTGAGAACCTACTGTGACAAGCTCGTAGGAGTGGGCAAGAATAAGCAAATTCGCATGAAACTGTTCATGCGAAGTCTTACAAGTGATGCGTTATCCTGGTATATCAGCCAAAACCCGAAGAAGTAGGTAAACTGGGTGAGCATGCATCCAATTTCATGGATAGATTCAGGTTCAACATAGAGAACGCGCTAGACGTTTTCTATATCCAGAACCTCAAAAAGAAGCCAATAGAAACCTTCAGCGAGTATGCTACTCGTTGGAGATCAGAGGCCGCCAAGGTAAGGCCGCCATTAGAAGAATAGCAAATGAACAAAATCTTTGTCAGAGCTCAGGATCTGCAGTATTACAA